TCGGAGTCCTCCCACTGGTCAACAGTAAGAGATGCTTGGGAAACAGTGTGAATCTGACATTGGCTAAATGTTGGGGATTATTTGGGACTTTCCACCCTGAAGCTTGTACTTCTCGAGTGTTATTATGAATCCAGGCCAGCACCAGAATTTACAAAGTTTGTACCATCAACAATATGTTGCGAAATTAGTCATTCCAGGTCCAAGCCTTGTTAGCAACTCTACTCCCAGACTCAGCGGGAACAGCTAACTCTGGTTGAGTTAAGGAGATTGAAACCACTCTCCTTAGGCAGTCAAGAGTCTCCTTCAGGTCAGCCGGAAATGAGATTCTTCTCCCTAGGGGCTATCTCTGTTGTTCTTGTGCAAGTTCCTCCATCTGGATAGACGCAGTTTTTTTGTGTGTGAAGAAGATCAGCCCTGAGCTAACATCCGTGCCAATCCTCCTCTTTTTACTGAGGAAGACGGGCCCTGAGCTAACATCCGTGCCAATCCTCCTCTTTTTACTGAGGAAGACGGGCCCTGAGCTAACATCCATGCCCATCTTCCTCCACTTGATGTGGGACGCTGCCACAGCATGGCCTGACAAGTGGTGCGTCGGTGCGCAGTGCACTTAACAGCTATGCCACGGGGCCGGCCCCATGGATAGACACAGTTTTAACGAATGACAATCCTGGGCCTTCTCCCTACATTGCGCTTGTTCACAAACTGTAGCATCTTGCATTTGGCTTGGTTAAAATACTTTTTGTATTAGATACCAAAGTGTTCTCAGGACCATTAATTAAAGTATTTTCAAAATATAACTTGGACAAGTTGCCAGCATTTTTCAGCCATCCAAATGCACATAATTGCAGGTGCATTTTTGTTAAGCACAGATTAATTAACCATTCTTTCAGGAAAATGCCAGAGATATCAGAGAGAATGAAAACACAGACCCAGGAAGAATGAAAAGCTAAATTATTAAAAAGCTGCTCATTAGTCCTTTACTAAAAAGTTTGCCAAAACTCCTGTGCCCGTGCCCAGTTAATTTACATCTTGTTCTATATTTTAGCAAAGTTGCAGCAAGGATTTCCTCTGCCCAACCCACACAAAATCTCATTCGTCAATTCCAACATTGAAGTACTTGAGGTAAGAGTGAGGAATATTCTCTTAACAACCCCATTTTCTTCGTAGTAGAATAAGCCTCTTCCTATTTTGCTTGCTTTTTGTTATTTTGTTCTGCTTTGTTTTTTCCCAGCCCCAGGAATTTTATAAACAAAATGTTTAGCTCTTAAAGCTTGCAATTAACAATGAAAAGCATTTCAACTTAAGTTTAAAAATCAAACCAAGTCTGATTTCCCTTCACACCCAAATTTATTCACACCACGGTACGAGAAGATGCACTATAGTGTGTTTTAGTTATTCCACAAGACCACCTGTAAGGCTGGGAGTATTAGTCCCATTTTATAGATGAGGAAAGTAAGACTCAGAGGGGTGAAGTGGTTTATGTAGCTGGAAAAGGGCATGGCTAAGATCAGACCGGCTCTTTTGATTCTCTCCGTCAGTGAACTTTAGCCTGAGCCAAAGACCTGCCTCTGCGTTCTGTTCAGGGATCTGTTGTGAGCTGCCTCCTGGTTAATCATTATTAACAAACTTCAGAACACCTATTTTCTTCTGTTTTGGCGTTTTCTGTTTGGGGAGGTGGAAATAAGATTCTGACAGAATTCCCCAATCCTATACACTACCCTGCACTCCCTCTTCCCTCCCCCTCTCCTTCTCTAATTGCTTAAATCATGAAAGGTGACAGTAATCCAAAATGGCCTATTCCTAGGTCAGAGGCACTCACAAAGGGGGACAGGGGTAGGGGAGGGTGTGACAAAGGGGGACAGGGGTAGGGGAGGGTGTGACATAGTAGAACCTGGTACAGAAGCCATCTCTCTCTCACCCTCAGGCTAACCTAGACATCGTGTGGCTGCAGGCGCCCAATGTTTGACATTATCTTCATCATTGCATCCTTTTCAGGATTTCCTTTTGATTTCCACCGACCTGAAGTATGAAACGTCCTTAAAGCAGCAGCCAAGTTTCCCTGGTTGGGAAGAACTGAATCTGATCCCTAGGCAGTGGAGGGAGAAGCCAGCCCCTTGATCGCCTGCTCAAAGTCCACTCCAGGAAGTAAATGGCCCTTAATCCCACATCTACTGTAAACCCAGAGGGGGAAGACAGTACACACTGGAATTGTAAAGCCCTTGTGAATAGCTTAGGCCGAAAGTCTTCTTTCCCAAACTCTCAGGGACCTAGAGTGAAGCAGTGGGTTAAAGAGCTGAATGGGGGGGGGGGGGGTCCGTGTGTGTGTGTGTGTGTGTGTGTGGAGGGCGGATGTTTGAATGTGTGTTCCTGTCTCAATGCACACTGTGTGTTCCTGTGTTTATAAGGCTCTGGGGCCAAGAGAGAGGCATGCACTTCAGATGAGGTGCATGAGAAACTCTCACGTACAGATTTGCCTCAGTTTCTATCAGTGGAGATCCCAGCCTTGTCAACACTCTAGGGTTCTCCCCCTCCCGCCGCTTCCCTGCATATTGGATTTTATGTTTTATATTTACTATTACTGTCCCATGTATTTAATTAAAATTGTTTTCTATCAATGTCAACCTTGTCTTTTTATTTGAGAAATTTCCTGCCCTGGATTTTTTTTTTTTAAATAAAATAAGACAGGAATAAGAGAAGAGAATTTAGTGTCTTTAACATGTACGAAAACTGAGGTTGTGCAGAATTCAAGGCTTGATTTTCAAAGGGAATACCTTGTCTCTTAGATGTTTCCAGTGAGAAACAGAGTGATGGCAGGAGACTCTATAAGTTGTATCGCTTCTTTAAGTTTTAGGATGTTTTCCCTCCCAGATTAAATGAAATGGCAGTGCAGAGCACTAAACCTAGATAACTCATAACTGATGATAGTAATGTTGTTAGAGCACCTAATCAGTGGGGCGAAAGTGGAGCAGAAGAGGAGGAAAGGGAAACCGATATGGATAATCTAAGAAATGAATAGAGAGCACTAGCTTCGCTTTTGTGGCGCCGACAACCTAGTGAGGGAAAAGAGAGCTGTTTACTGGAGCGCTGACCATGCGCCAAGCCCTGTGCTGGTTACTACACGAGTGTCCTTTCATTTACTCTTTATAGTCCCTCTGTGAAGAATTATGACCTTTTATAGATGAGGAAACAAAGGTTAGGAGAGATTAATCACACAAAGCTGGTAAAGGGCAGAGGTAGAAACCGAATCCCAGTCTTTCTGATTCCAAAGTCGCTGTTCCTTACATGAAGTAGGACTAGAACCTAAAATCGCTTAAAGCTCACTTATTACTCTGAACAAGGGCCACTGTATAAAAGCATGATCATAGAGTACTTAGTCATCAAGAAGTGTGGACCGAGAAGCCCTGGCTATCCACAGGAACTGCAATTTACTCATTTTGGAGCGCAGATCTGGGCCATAATAGATGCTCCCGTTAAGTGTTTGTTGTAATAAATGATAAACTGTCCCGTTTCCTTCTTTGGAAGGCTCTTTTCAAACACCACATCTGACCGGGCAAGAGAAACAATAGAAAAAATAAACAAATGGGACTACATCAAACTAAAAAGCTTCTGCACAGCAAAGGAAACCATCAACAAAACGAAAAGACAACCTAACAATTGGGAGAAGATATTTGCAAACCATACATCTGATAAGGGCTTAATCTCCAAAATATATAAAGAACTCATGCATCTCAACAACAAAAAAACTACCAACCCAATTAAAAAATGGGCAAAAGACCTGAACAGACATTTCTCCAAAGAAGATATACAGATGGCCAACAGACACATGAAAAGATGTTCAAAATCACTAACTATCAGGGAAATGCAAATCAAAACTACAATGAGATATCACCTCACGCCTGTCAGAATGGCTATAATTAACAAGACAGGAAACAACATGTGTTGGAGAGGTTGTGGAGAGAAGGGAACTCTCATACACTGCTGGTGGGAGTGCAAACTGGTGCAGCCACTATGGAAAACAGTATGGAGATTCCTCAAAAAATCAACGATAGAACTACCATATGATCCAGCTATTCCACTGTTGGGTATTTATCCAAAGAACTTGAAAACACCAATTTGCAAAGGTACATGCACCCCTGTGTTCATTGCAGCCTTATTCACGATAGCCAAGACTTGGAAGCAACCTAAGTGCCCATCAAGGGACGAATGGATAAAGAGGATGTGGTATATATACACAATGGAATACTACTCAGCCATAAGAAACGATGAAATCCAGCCATGGATGGACATTGAGGGCATGATGCAAAGTGAAATAAGTCAGAGGGAGAAGGTCAAATACCGTATGATTTCCTTCATTAAGTAGTAGATAATAACAACAATAAACAAACACATAGGGACAGAGATTGGATTGGTGGTTACCAGAGGGGAAGGGGGGAGGGAGGAGGGTGAAAGGGATAATTCGGTACATGTATGTGGTGATGGGTTGTAATTAGTATTTTGGTGGTGAACATGATGTAGTCCATGCAGAAATAGAAGTACAATGATGTACACCTGAAATTTTTACAATGTTATAAACCAATGTTACTGCAATAAACAAAAAATTAAAAAAAAAAAAAAAAAAAAAAAGTTATTTAATGCGTATCCACAAATTCATTCTGAAACACTGCAAATTTTAGTTGTGGTATTTATTTAAACACGTTTCTCTTTCTCAGCTACAGACATCTTTTTCCCCTCGGTGCTGGGATGAAACTCCCACGACAGGTATTCATTAGAGCGTTTGGACCTGATCCAGATTCAGTGCGTTTTTCAGTGCTGAAAAGCACTTCCAAAACGAGGAATAACTGGATCATACTAAAAACTACTGGATCTAGCTTAGCTTTTAGCCTAGAAGGGAATGACTAGCAAATATCCAAAAAGGTAAACACTAGAGGGCTGTTTAACTTAACGAGAGAAAAGCGATTGGTGCGACGAGTTTCGAGCCTCGGCGCTTGCCGTCGCCCGTCCTGCCGCGGAGCCGGCCGCGCCTGCGCGCTGAGCTCCGGAAGGCGGTGATTCGTAAAGCCGGACAGCGCGGCAGCTGCTGTGGAAAGCCGAGCGGGGAGTTTTCGCCACCGTGGTCGCCGCCATGAGTCGCAGCTATAACGATGAGCTGCAGTTCTTGGACAAGATCAATAAAAACTGCTGGAGAATCAAGAAGGGCTTCGTGCCCAACATGCAGGTGAGGCGGGGGAGCAGGAGCGGGTGGCGGGGCCTTCCCGGCTGGGGTCCCGCGGCGCCTCCGTGCCAACCTGGCCGCCTCCTCGCCCTCCCGACGCCTGGTGGGCCGTGGGTGCGCCCCCGCCCCCGGCAGAGTTCCACCCCACCGCACCCCACCCCGCTCCCCGGCCTCCGGGGCTGCCGACCCCGCCTCCCCACGGGAGAGGTCCCCAGACCACGAGGACCCACAAGCGGAGTGTGTCTAGGGAATCGGAGTAAAGACGAGATGGGCGTTTGCAAAGCGTTTTCACCCATGAGTCTCATGAACGCACCGTAAGATGTGTTCCATTCCTGAGCCTCGGAGACATTAGTGCTCTTTTATTGGGTGGCACAGCCAGTCCCGGGGATGGTTGCTGGGACTGGGGCGCAGTTCCTCTGAGTCATGCTGGACGTTTAGGTGATGTTTCCAGACCTGTGTTCGCTGGACCAAGTTTTTAGCATTCACTCATCCATGTGGGTTTCTAGTAAAACAGTCTTGTTCTTCGGAACAGCCTAGAAAATTCACAGGGCAGGGGGTTGTTTTTAATATTCGCTTTCCAGAAGGACCTTGAGGAACAGTCGGTGACACAGCTTCCTGTAGCCACCTAATAAGAAACTCAGCCAGGACTTGGTGTCCAGTGCTCTTCTTTTTCTCTGACCGGATGATGTATTCCAGATGGAGACTTGGGAGCCCAATATCAGAGGGTTTGAGAGCCTGGGCTCCCTGTGTCTCTCAGGCTTCATCTCCGTTTGTGCTTATTATTTTCCATTAAAGTGAAGAAAGAAGGCATTTAGGAGGTTTTCGTGCATATGTTGTTAAATGGTTTTTGAAATCCCTTAAGGTGCCATGCAAGTGCACTGAAGGTTTATGATCCTGTTCTTGGTAAAAGTTCCTGATAGCAGCTCCTTCATGGTATTTGATCACTGATAAAAATGTTCTGGCCTTTGGTATTTACATAATTATGTTCTCTGTTGCCTTTTGTATGCCTCTATTGTTAAGCTTCTTTATTCTCTTAAAATTATGTAAATTGTAGAACTGAGCACACAGCTACATAGCTACATGTTAAAATTTTTTTACTCATTATTTACCAAAGTGTAGATTTGTAAATCAGCGTAGGACACAAGAACGTGAAATGTGCTGTTACCTTTAGCACACAAAAAGTACACTAAGGTCAGATGACTACATTGTTATGTTTACAATTTGAGTTTTTGATTTGTCTGTTTCTGCAAAACCCATTGATACTTTCGAAGCACAAGAGTGCTGAGACCTTGTGGCCTTAGTGAGAGTGTAGTTGGAAGACTTTTCTTTATCACACGCACAGAAAATATTGTACCTGTTGAATTCTTAAATGTGCCTTTGAGAGGAGAATTAACAAAACAATTTGTGAACTTGGCAAAATACATTTTTAAGATATATTTAAAGATGGGTACATCTTGTAGTTTTTGATAGGAAGTTTTCTGCCTATTTAAGGTAACATGAAAGTGTTTTATAAAGAGTAAAGCAAAATGAATATTGCATACAGTGTTTATTTTCTGTCCAGTGCCTATACATCATGTTCATGTGCTCAGACATAGTTTTTCCTTTTCTTTGGTACCAGGTGGAAGGAGTTTTCTATGTGAATGATGCTCTGGAAAAATTAATGTTTGAGGAATTAAGGAATGCCTGTCGAGGTGGTGGTAAGTACATTAGCGTTTTACGTTGATAGTACAGGTGGTGTCTTCCCTGTGGTCTGAAAAAAATGGTAATTCAAATAATGATAATTTAAAAATACAAAAGGAATGACCAAGACTTGAAATGAGACCAAAAAAAACTTACTTATTTGTGATCACATTGTTAGCCACCTGGCCTTGTAGAAACCATTTGGAGCTGGGTGGACCTGGTCGTTTTCACAGCTAACCTTGGACAGTAATAACAAGAACTACCATTTATTGTGCACTTGATATGTGCCAGGCACTTTACTAGCTGCTTTACATAAATTATCTTATGTAATTCTTAGAGTAACTCTAAGAAGAAGATATTATTATTATCTCCGTTTTATAGAAATGTAAGTCAAGGCTCAGTGAGGTTAAGTAATTTTAGTTTGTCCAAGGTTGCACAGCTTCTCATGACAGAGCCAGAATTAAATCCACACGTGTCTGATTCCAAAATCTGTATTCTTAACCAGTACACTGGTTAGCCTCACTGGACTTCAGTTGTCTGTCTGTAAAAGAAAGTTTATTACACCTATTTGCAGAACTGTAGTGACATGTAGAGATAAATATATAAAGCTCTAATATAATGCTCTAATGGTGATGGTGGAATGGAAATCTAGTTTTAACCCTTTTAGTTTTTAGTTCAACAGACTAAGTCGCACCCCATTCCCCACCAGGGTATGCTGATGTGTCTAACATGACAGCAACCAAGTGACAGAGCTAGGAGTAGAACCCCTAACTCTCAATCCAGTGTTTTCCCAGTTCTTCCACATTGCCCTTCTTTGTCACTTACAATAAAACCAGTGTTGATTTTTTTCTATAAATAATATGAACTATTGAAAAGAATACATTTTTTATATTGACAACATAATGTTTAATAGTTATGTTTTACATAACCCAGTACAGTGTTTGCAAGCAACCCTGTTGTGGTCTGCACAGAACACTGACAGCATGTTTATGGTTATTCTAGTTGCCCTCACTAATTCCTGTGCGTGTGCTGCCTTCCAGAAGAGGCTCCCTCCCCACTTCCATCTCAGACATCCTTTATATGCTTTGTTGTTTTAGTAGTCCTAACCACTACCCTTTCATTCAGTGTGATCTAGAAACATATGAATATACTAAAAATCAAATGTGTCCTCTTTTCTAATATTGAATTTTTGTCTTCAGGTGTTGGTGGCTTCCTGCCAGCCATGAAACAAATTGGCAATGTGGCAGCCCTGCCTGGGATTGTTCATGTGAGTTTGTGTTCAGAGCTTTAATCATTTATATTTTCTCTTAGTCTAGATGTTTGTTTAATGGATGAATGGCCACATCCAACTGACAGTGGTGTCTGTGAACGTCTAGAAATAACCATGGGACTTAAAGAACTAATTGAGTCTGGATAACTTCTTAGTTTCTAGTTGCCTTTGGCTAGAATCTATAAGCACTAGAGAACCTTGGAAGTAGTGTTTGTTTTCTTGTTTCTTTGTTCTAGTACATCTTTATTCTTAGATCATTGTACCACCATTGAAAGTTTCACTGTGGCCCATTCAAGAGGATGATTAGAGAAAGAATGGAAAAAAGTTTAAGGGTTAGGACTGAGGAGAGGGAGAAAGGACAGTATAGCTATTCTGGACATGATTGGAAAAGGAGGGCGGGGGCGATAACAAGGATAGAACTGGATGGTACAAGTGGGCCCCCTCCACAGTCTAACGTACCCATTCCACTATTAGAGGAAGATGTTAAAATAAATCCATTCAAGAGACCTGGTTTTTTTTTCTTGCTGGGAAAGATTCTCTCTGAGCTAACATCTGTTGCCAGTCTTCCTCTCTTTTTTTTTTCCCCTCTCCAAAGCCCTAGTACATAGTTGTATATTCTAGTTGTAGGTCCTTCTAGTTCTTCTATGTGAGCCGCTACCACAGCATGGCTACTGACAGACAAGTGGTATGGTTCTGTGCTCGGGAACTGAACCTGGGCCGCCGAAGCAGAGCATGCTGAACTTTAACCAATAGGCCATCAGGGCTGGGTCTCAAAAGACACTTTTTTTTTTTTTTTGGCGGGAAAAATTATCCCTGAGTTAAAAACTAAACCCCCTGCTCCTCTTTTTGCTGAGGAAGACTGGCCCTGAGCTAACATCTGTGCCAAGCTTCCTCCACTTTATGTGGGACGCCACCACAGCATGACCTGACAAGCAGTGTGTTGGTGCACGGCCAGGTTCCAAACCCCAGGCCGCCAGCAGCAGAGCGCGTGCACTTAACCGCTACACCACGGGGCTGGCCTCACAAAAGACACTTTTTGAGATCTTTATGCCAGTTACTATGCTTGGGGGAAAAAATGAAAAGATGTGGCTTGTGCATTTAAGGAACTCATAAGTGTCTAGGTGTCTATAATATATCCTTAACCATGTTTGACCTGCATCCTTCCTAGATCAGGATCCTTTTCTAGGCCCCAGATGTAGAAAGTATACAATATTCATAGCATCAAATGGATTACATTTGTCTATGTTGCTTAAACACTAAGGACCTGTATAAATTGGATATATTCCTCCTCTGAACCCGACACGACCATGATTTGTCAGTGTCTAAAGATCATCTTTAAAATGTAATAATACATTAAAGTTAGTGTGTAGTCCTCCTATATCACATTATACTGAAGCTTTTCTGCTTTCAGTTTCCTTAACGGTCAAATTTTATAAAAAGGTTTTTTCCTGCTATATTTAGCTTTATAGTAGGAGTTTTTACAGCTAATTTCCACCAATAGAGAAAATTTCATGAACACAGAATTTTGATTTGGGGAAGACTTCAGTCCACAGCCTGTTTGAGAATTAGTATCAGGTCACCAGGGTGCCAGGTTGTGACGGCTGTATTTCATTTTCTAATTCTCTTGCAGCGATCCATTGGGCTTCCTGATGTCCATTCAGGTTACGGGTTTGCTATTGGGAATATGGCAGCCTTTGATATGAATGACCCTGAGGCAGTGGTATCCCCAGGTAAGGTCACTGTGCACGTCTCCTGTCAGCTGTGTGGCTTCTTTTTGTGTGTGCGTTTCTCAGTCTCATATTCTATTATTTCTTTTCCTCCCATTTACTGAGAGAATTAATTGTGACAGAGGCTGTTGAAGTATCAAGTAAAGCATACATTTATTGAAAATTATTTGGGCCCCTACTGTATACCAGGCACTATCTAGACATTGGGTACAAAACAAACTGAAATACTTCCCTGGCAAATTATGTATCTTCTGTGTGTCGCAGTTACCTCTTGGGCACATTGGAGCTAATGATGTTACTTACCACATGGCATTAATGTTAAGATTAAATGAGTTAAGATGTGTAAAATACTTAGAACAGTGCTAGGCACACAGGAAGTACTTGGTGAGTTTGCTTTCATTATCGTCATTATTACTCACCTCTATTTGTATACATCTTTTCTACTGTGGGGTGCTGTCACTGAAAATATTTTACTAGAAGTAATATCTTTGCTTTCAGAGTCTGAAAAAAAAATGAAAGTTTAAATTATATCTTGAGAGTTCTGCCTGTAGCAATGGCAGTCAGGGTTGTTTAAGACTAATCGTCTGCCAAGAGTAACAAGAAAGGCTGGAAAAAATTTTTCAAAAATAAAACAAAAACAAAACACATCTATTTGAAAGCGTAGGAAAGCCGTTAAGGCAGTAAGAATTTGTGAGGCTAAGATCCAGAGGAAAAGCACAATTACGTGAGCCCAAGGTTTAGCACTGTTTTTCTCTTGAGGTAATGGCAGATTTCAATCTGTAAGGATATAGGTGATTTGAACAATCCGGGTAAAAAACTTGACATCTTGACCTCTAATATATGTGCATGCTTGTGTGTGCACACATTATGTGCATCCAAGAACTGTAGAATACACATTTTTTTCAAGTGCACACAGAATGTTTACCAAAATTGACCACATGTCCGTGCTGAGCCATAAAGCAGATCTCAAATTTCAAAGCATTGAAATCATAGAGCAGCAGTTCTCTAATTTTTTGGACTCAAGACCCCTTTGCGTTCTTAAAAATTGTTGAGGGTTGATTTCAAAAGGTTTTATCAGTGTTTACCTTACTAGAAATTAAAACTGAGAAATTTTTAAAACAATGATACACAAGTACATGTTTTGTTATCCATCAGAGCAAACAAGTTATCACATGTCATGTAGCCTTTGGAAAACTTCACTGTATACACAAGAGAATAAGTTTAAAAGGCCAAAATTTCTTAGCCTCATTATACAATTAGTCTTCTAGACCAGCAAGATCTTTGGACCACGCTTAAGAACCACTGGTAGATATTTCTAACTTAATGTTAAAAATCATTAACAATAACAACAACAAAAACTAGAAAACCCTCCCAAGTATTTATAAATTAAGCAATATGCTTTTAAATAACCCACAGGTCAAAAAAAATAATGGAAACTACAAAATAATGTTAACTACTGTTAATAAAAAATACTTATGTCTAAAAACTGTGGGTTACTGTTAATGCTATATTTAGAAGAAATACATAGCCTTAAATGCACAAATTAGAAAAGAAAAAGGCTAAAATATCATTGATCTAAGTATCTATCTCAAAAAGTTAGAGAAAGAACAACAAATTAAACCCAAAAAAGGTAGAAAAGTGGAAGTAATTAAAAGCAAAGTTAGTGAAATGATATACGATAGAAAGGATCAACAAAGCCGAAAGTTGGTTCTTTGAAAAGACTAATAGAATTCATAAACCGCCAACAAGAGTAATCAAGAAAAAAAGAGAAACACATAATTCACATTTTAATCTCTAGTCTAGATGTTACTCATTGTTCATTATTGCCTCCCTGGCCTACACAGTACCTTTAATATGTGTGTTACTTTAAATTGTTTTGATGTCATCAGACTTTACCTCAGAGAACCACTTTGTTGGCTACTTTAAAACATAGTTGTCTTTAAAAGGATGGCTATCTTTTAAACCCTGTATTAATGGTGGGACCGTAGGTAACAATGCCCTACCTGATTTTGCCAGTATCTGACTAACTTTTCTCTCTGTAGGTGGCGTCGGATTTGACATCAACTGCGGTGTCCGCTTACTCAGAACCAATTTAGATGAAAGTGATGTGCAGCCTGTGAAGGAGCAGCTTGCCCAAGCTATGTTTGACCACATTCCTGTTGGAGTGGGATCAAAAGGTGTCATCCCAATGAATGCCAAGTAAGAGCACAAGTTTCCAGTAAATAGAGTGAGAGCGATAATAACCACATGACCCTCACACTTATTTCCAGTAGGACTCTGAGGAGATGGAGATTGTTCAGTCACTTTTCAGGAAGTAGTAATGAATTGGTTTTTTAAGCATGAAGTCCAGCCCATTTATTATAGATATTAGTCAATGGATGTTCATTGTAACAGCCTTTGACCTATAGTAGAATTTAGAATAATATCCACTGACATTTATTGAGCTCTTCTTTGTGCAAGGCGCTGTGCTATAGTGTACGTGTATCATATCATTTTGTCTAGATAATAACCCTAATATCCCTAATTTACAAGAGAGGAAGCTGTAGTTTAGAGAGGTAATAGTAAATAAGCTAGTAAGTAAAGTTAGGATTCGAACTAAAGATGCTTTGGCTTCAGAAGCTGTATTCTGAACCCACTGCCTTTTTTCAGTGAATCGTTATTTATCCATGACCTTCCTTTTGGAATGATAGCACTGAATGTCTTCTTCGACTAAGATGTTATATATTTCCAAAGTAGAGAAATATAAGGCTACAGCATAACTGCCTTTGAGATAGCCATTGACTGTACTGTGTCATAGTTCATGTAAAGCTGTGCGCCTTAAACTTCGCAGAAGGGTGTGCTTAACAAGTATGTTTCTTTAACATCTTCTGTTCTATCTTTAAAATTCATGTGAATTTTGCATTCTGTTCAAATTTATTTACATACATTAATATTAAAGTGTTTTTAGCTATTACCTGTCACATTATACAACTCCCCTCCAACAAAAAAAGAAACTTGGAATAAAATTGATACACTCGGGAGATACTCATTCTGTGGTTTCATGTGGTCCCTGACATGTAGTCCCTGACGTATATTCCAAGCCCAACTTGGAAAAGCATACCTGGAAAATATAAATTCCAAGCATCTTTACAAATATTTTAGATAGGAATTGTGTCCTAAATCTCTCCTGGTAGTGTTTTGGAAGAGGGGTGGACCTTAGATGAAGATAAAGCTTTTTCCTTCTAGGAGTTTAATGTATTGTGTACCTCGGCTTCAAAATGCAGGTGCAATGAAGCCACATACTACTTCTGTGAAGAGGGGAATAGACCTTAAAATTTAACCTGTGTCACCTGAGAACATTTAGATAGCTTTATTTATTATTTGACTGTAATTTTTCATAAATTATTAATGAAGGCCAGTAGCTGTGGTAAAGTTAGTGGTAGATAGTGATATTTTATTATGGTTATCAATTTTCTTTATACTTAATCACCACCTTATTGAATTCAGGATCAGAGAGGCAAATCTAATGTAAATAAGATTTGAAAAGTACAGGGGGCTGTATAAATGTCAAGAACGATAATCATCTCTAATAGGGCATTTACTATGTAATATTGCAATTATTTATGTAACTGCTTGTCTCAAAAAACTAGAATTGCTAAGAGCATAAACTGTATCTAGCACAATGCCAGGTACACAAGCGGTAGTCAGTATATGTAGTGTTTTCTTCTGCCTTTTTGAGAAGTGATCATCCTTAGATTTTGATCTGCCTTGGCTCTGAAATGACCAGCACCTTATTACTCACTCAGAGACCTGGAGGAGGCTTTGGAGATGGGTGTGGACTGGTCCCTCAGAGAAGGCTATGCCTGGGCTGAAGACAAGGAGCACTGTGAGGAGTATGGAAGGATGCTGCAAGCTGACCCCAATAAGGTCTCTCCGAGGGCTAAAAAAAGAGGCCTTCCTCAGGTAACACTTTGTTTGGAGGGATGACATGTTCATTTTTTTAATATTTTTTTTGTTGGGGGAAAAGTCTGTCTTCTGTGTAGCAAATACAACCCCAGGTTTTTTCACATTATATCAAAAAGAACACAAATTTGTTTGTTTATGGCTCCTTCTTACTCTTAAAAAGCTATCAGGAGCTTGCAGATGGTCATAAAATTAAACAAAATATGGTGAATTAGAGTGGATGGGAGGAAAATAGGATATGATTATAAGACTTAAAAAAATTGCATATATGTTCATACTTGGACAGTCTGCAGATTTGGCGAAGGTTTTCTGGGGTCTAAGATGAAAAGAGATACCTTGTCAGTTCACGGTGTCTATGAGATAAGAATATACCAGATGTTTGAAATTTACAGCTAATTGTGTGTAATTGTGATGGCTTTGCCACTAATTCACAGTGACCTTGAGCAAGCGTCTTGTGCCTCTCTGGGTCTCGTTTTCTCATCAGAAAATTGGGATAGTTAAAACGGGCAACCCCTAAAGGCTCTTCAGCACTGCCAGTCTCTGGTTCCCAAAATCGTCTGTTAACTCCAGTTATGGGCTATATTCTTTCAGTGATGGATAATGCAGGGTGTCAGTGAACTCATGGATGTTTCAGAAATCATTTAAACTTGGACCTTGTGTAAGAGTCAGCATTCACCAGAGTTCATCCCAAAATTTGACCCTTGTCTCCACGATGTTTAAAATGTCCTATGAGCCATAAGATGGTCTGAGTTTGGGTTTATGAAGCTTTTAATATGTGTCTACCTCAAGGAGATAATGATACAATAAACTTCAGAGGCTGCTCTACATTATTTTTGTTGTGTGGAATATTGCTTTAAATGAATGAAGCATTTCTAAGGCTTAGAAATTTTTTTATTACGTAAAACACTATTTGTTTGGTTATTTTTTTGTTGTTATTCGTTGTTTTTACCTATTTGCTTTTTAAATGGATTTTTTTTTTAACTGGAATAGAAGCTATTTTATCAGACATTCTTACATTTGCAGTTGGGGACCCTGGGAGCAGGCAACCACTATGCAGAAATCCAGGTTGTGGATGAGATTTTCAATGAGTATGCTGCTAAGAAAATGGGCATCGACCATAGAGGACAGGTGTGTGTGATGATCCACAGTGGAAGCAGAGGCTTGGGCCACCAAGTAGCCACAGGTATATTCTGGGCCTCATTTTTGGCTTGGTGTTAAAATATACATTTTATGGGGAACTGTATAGAGATTTAAGAGAGAAAGCTCTGTAACTATACTGTGTATGTTTTTACCCTGGTTCTCCTAATTACCACTGTGACCTTGAACAACTTAACCTCACTGGGCCTTAACTTCCTTCTCTGAAAAAAATGGGAATGATAATTATTTCATATGGTGTTGTCGTAGGAGATTAAATGAAATAATATATGTAAAGAACTTGCATCAGTGCCTGACACTTAGTAAGAACTCAGTACATATTGGCTCTGTTGATTATGTTTACTTGGCTCTTTTTATTATGTCTTTCTGCCTGGCCTTGAAAGAGCAAGAAATACCTTAAATTATAGAGTATATGATGTATGCAAATATATCGTAGATATCTATACTGCAAGATTACGTGTTATAGTGGATTCAGTGAGGAAATAGGCAAGGACTCTGCCCCCAAATTGTCTCATGAGAGAGGTGTCATGTTCATTAAAAAGAAAAAGTAAAACCAGAAGGTAGTAATTGATAAAATAGAAGAGACAAATTGTTTAGGAAACAGACACATAACGTTCACAGTTTGGACAATCACACGTGAAGGACATTTATGACCAAAAGACAGCATGAACAAAAGCAGAAGGCAGGGAAATAGTGGGAAGGTCATTTTGGATGATTTGTAGGATGTGTGAAAGGATTTATGAATATATGAAAAGTTACATAGACACATGGAAATTATTATAAACTTTAAATTGTGTATGATAGTTCATCCTTGTATGTACATTTTATCCTATGGGAATTTAATAATTTGTGCCAGCCTGAGCTATTGGAATATTTAATCTAGCAAATATATGGAACATTGACTATATTTCTGAACTTTTTGCTGAGTACTTCTCTACACTTTGTCATGGTTTTCACTTTCCTGCAGAAGATCTAGCAACTTGTCAGCAGCTCTTTTATATTAAGTCCCTAAGAATTATTTTTAAAAACCATGATGGTAATAAAACGTATTCTACTACTTCTGTTCTCATTCATTCACTTGCGAGGAAAGGAGTAACTAAGACCATGTTGTTGCTGTTCATGTACACATCTCATTCCCTTACAAGTTCCTAGAGGGCACATACTGTCTTTGTAGCCCACGTAACTTGTGTCACAGCTCTGACAGAAGATTCTCCATAAGTATGTCTTGACCAAGCAAATAGATGAACTCAGAAACACTTTAAAAGGAAAGTTGTGTTTTACTTGTTTTTTCATAGAATGGGTTTGAATGTAGCCTACCTTTCTGCGGTAAATCTGAATTATAAAGGGAAAGCTGGCTGGTTTGGACTTGTGGCTCTCTTGTTCCAGATGCACTGGTAGCTATGGAAAAAGCCATGAAGAGAGACAAGATTATAGTCAATGACCGTCAGTTGGCTTGTGCTCGAATCGCTTCCCCAGAGGGTCAGGACTACCTGAAGGGAATGGCAGCAGCTGGGAACTATGCCTGGGTCAACCGCTCCTCCATGACCTTCTTAACCCGTCAGGTACAGTTGAAGTTGCTCTTCTGTTCCGAGTTATTCATGGTGAAGTTAAGTGCTTTAAAGCATAGTATAGTCAAATCAAAGCCTCTAGACTCTGGTTTTAGAAATTTATGTAATAAATATTTAAGATATTGGCAAAGTGTCCAAGCTTTTGGTGTCTCCTTAAACTAAATCAGCAGGGTATCAGGCATGGGGAATAAGGGAAGAAGAGAAGCCAGAATTATTCCTAGGTTTGCCTTGAGCTGCAGAGGTTAGAAGTGGCGTTCACCAAGATTCAGAAGGCTAAGGAAGAAGCAGTTCTGAAGGATGGCATCAAGAGTAGCCAAGCAGCTTTTCATCCAAAGTTGGAATTTATGGAGTGGAATTTGCTATGTGGTCTAAAAGACAGTTTTTGTCCCTTACATGAAGATTAGTAATACTGCTGTTTCTGAATTCTTAAAGCCCTCACTCCCTTCGGGAACAGACTAGCTGAAATCAGTCAGATAAGTTCTAAAGAGCTGGTTCTGGCTGCTTTTAACTTCAGCTTTTTCTCTTAGGCTTTTGCCAAGGTCTTCAACACAACCCCTGATGACTTGGACCTACACGTGATCTATGATGTTTCTCACAATATCGCCAAAGTAGAACAGCATGTGGTGGACGGGAAGGAGCGGACGCTGTTAGTACACAGGAAGGGATCCACCCGAGCTTTCCCTCCTCACCATCCCCTCATTGCTGTGGATTACCAAGTACGTACTAAGCCATTTGTGGTTTTAAGCAATGGGGGCATGATTTAGATAGTTCTAAATATGGATGAATTTAAACAGGAAAGCAGCAATTGTGAAAAGAAAATAATCTGTCATCCGTAAAAACAGTGATTTCCAGTCTTCTCTGAAGCAGTGACTGCCCCGTCATCTGGGCTTGCAGTGTGCTGTCCAAAAAGTGCTGCATGGAGAATATTGTACTTAATTAAGATGAATTAAGGTTATCTTTTCAAAGCCTTTGAGTGATTGGAAAATAATTACGATTAAACTCAGTCTTTCATTTTTCTTATCCTTCTGGTGTCTGGCTGTGATCGAGTTAGAAAGACCCTTAGCCTGCTCCCATCTCGCAGATGAGGAAACCAAAGCTGGAGAGGGCAGGCGCCCTGCTCAGGATGTTCTTCCTGCGAACGTTTCCCTGCATGTTTGAATTTTGCTTTGCTCTTAGATTGAGTCTGTCATCTGCTGCCTTCCTGGTCCTCACATTTTCACTCTCTTCCTCTTCTCTCCTCTCTCAGTTATCAAAGAATGCAAATAACGTCGTAATGTAGTTGTGAGAACAATGCGTTTTAGAGGCCCAGGTTTCTCCCACGGTCCTCCAATGCAAAGGAAAATCTAAATCTCGGGCATAAAAAGCTCATTTTAACACGTTTGATTTGTGTGCATCCTCAGCTTACTGGACAACCAGTGCTCATTGGTGGCACCATGGGAACCTGTAGTTATGTTCTTACTGGCACTGAACAGGGCATGACTGAGACCTTTGGAACAACCTGTCATGGAGCGGTAAGGAAAAGAGAAACTTACTTAGAAATGCTGTCTTCAGTTTAGTCATTGTTTTGCATTTTGACAGGTAAATGTACTTGATTGCGCATTAACAAATTTGAGGTTTGGGTCTGTTTTATCTTCTATGTGAGTTTATTTCCATAATATATGCTGTCTAGTGACCAACTGAGGTCACCTAGTATCTGTACCTTAGTGGGGTCATGGTAGGGCCAGGGACTGTTCCTCATCTCTGCAAGGGCACAAAATCCAGACTGAGAAATTGTCATACTAGCATAACTGATAGAACTTTAACTGATGCAAATGTGCATCACAGCTTATCTCAGCAATTTACCAGACCTAGTAATTTGCACAATTTATTCCTTATTGAGTGGGTTCACTGAAGATTTGGGGAATATGCCCTATTTGCAAATCAGAGCCCATGTGTAGTTTGCACACCTATTTTAACATATTGCCTCTTATCTTCTAAGCCAGGGGTTGGTAAACTTTTTCTATAAAGTGCCAGGCAGTAAATATTTTAGGGTTTTCGGACCACATGGTCTCTGTAGCAGCTATTTGATTGTGCCATTGTAGTGAAAAAGCAGCCATAGACAGCACATAAACAAATGGGCGTTGCTGTGTTGCAATAAAACTTTATTTACAAAAACAGGTGGTAGGCTAGATTTGGCCCAAGAACCAGTTTGCCAACCCCTATTCTAAGCCATCAGAGTGCTTAGCTAGTGATGGAGTGGAAAATAGAAACTGTCTAGAATACCTTCTCATAGGACAGACACTCACAAATATATTTACCCACACTTTTTTCTCTGATCCTTTCTCATTTCCAGCTGCCTCCCAACTCCTAGTTTTAACCCACTGATCAAAACCAGGGTCGTCCCACACATACACATTAGTAATGTCTGGGGGCATTTTTGATTGTCACAGTGGAGGAGGCGAGTTGTGCTACTGGCAGGATGCTGCTAAATATCCTATAATGTACAGGACAGTCCCCACAACAAAGAATTATCTGTAGATAATATACCAGATAATAATAATACCATAATAATAATACCAGAACCTCGGTAGTGCTCAAGTGGAGACACTGTTTTATAATTTTATTTATTTATTTTTTTCCCCAAAGCCCCAGTAGATAGTTGTATGCCGTAGCTGCACATCCTTCCAGTCGCTGTACGTGGGACGCGGCCTCAGCATGGCCGTTAGAAGCGGCGCGTAGGTGTGCGCCCGGGATCCAAACTGGGGCCACCAGCAGCGGAGCGTGTGCACTTAACCGCTAAGCCACGGGGCTGGCCCTGAGAAACTGTTTTAAATTGCAGAGAGCACAAAGGTTTTGTGATGACATACTGTTTACAATTAAAAATTAGTATACTTTTGCTGAATTGATAATTAATAGTAATTAGAAACACAAAACTAAATCTTGAAATACTAAGTGCTTTGTATAGATGGAAATTTGTTTTCCAAAAGGATATGATGAGGCTTATAACAAAAGGCACATAATAAGGTTGATAAAATAGAAAAAGATGTTTTTTAACTCTTTTTTAGTTTAAAAAGAAGTCAAGGAAAAAGCATATAATCCTAAGGATTTAAATAATTGCTGGGATTGAACATAAATTGTAGCTCAGAATTTATAAAGTGAAGTTTATTCCTTTCTTATTCCAGGGCCGTGCCTTGTCTCGAGCAAAATCTCGACGTAATTTAGATTTCCAGGATGTCTTAGACAAATTAGCAGATATGGGAATTGCAATCCGTGTTGCCTCACCCAAACTGGTTATGGAAGAGGTAAGTGAAGTTTTGATAAATATTCAGTGTAAAATTGTTTATGATTTATGCCAGTTCACTGGTAGAGACAGCAATTTTTGGTATTGCTAACAGAAGTTGTTGTTTTTAAAATAACCTCAATTACAGTTTATCATTGTCTTCTCTTTTGTTTGGAGATTAATTATGAGACAAATCCATAAGAATAATTTTTCTTTTTGTGTATAGTCTCTGTCTACATATTAAGCTTTAAAAATAGTTTGAGCTGACTCATTTTAACCTTTCTTTTGCACAGCTATATACTTACGTTTAAATTTGAAAGCAGATTTGAAAAAGCAGGGGGAAAATGTTTGGGGAAACAGTTTTGTTTGATTCACAAGGGAGCAAAGATTTTGTTTAAATTATATGTATGTATCTGTACACATATGTACATATTTAAATTAGAACCAACATAACTCATTTAAAAGGTTTAAGAGAAAAGAAAAAGTCATCCAGAAACTCAGTGCCCTAATATTTACCTCCTTTTGTAGGATATTTATTGCCATTTTTTTTCCCGTAAATGCTTTTTTTAAACTAGTTATAATCATACTTTACAAACATTTTGTAGTACTTTTTTTAATTTAGCACATTTTTATAAAATTGTTTGTGTCACTTTCTAATGATTGCTCAGTACCCATATTGGACATTTAAGAAGCTTCCAAATTTTTGCTACTAAAAAATTAAGTTGTAGTGAGTGTCTTCATGCATGAAGCTTTTTTCCCAGATGTTTTAATAATTAGAGTGAAATCCCAAAAGTAGGATTACAGAGTCAGAGTATGACAAAACCTTATTTTTTAATAACTATTAACTTTTCCCCTGATTTTAAGAATAACATGTTTAAAGTAAGAGGTTTTGGAAAATACAAAGAAGAAAACAGAAACCATCTAGAGTTCCACCAGCCAGAGATAAGCTCTATTAACATTTGCTATATTTTTTACTTGCATGTTTTACAAATGATTTTTTTCATTCACTCATTCAGCTAATACTTATTAAATATCTGCTATAGGTACTGTTCTAGATGCTGGGGATACTGCAGTGAACAAAACTAGCATAAATCCCTTCCTTGTGAAACTTACCAAATGTAAAATGTATAGTGTTAAATGTATAGTGATAGTTAGATGACGATAAGTACTACAAAGTAAAAATGGCGGGCCGGCCCCGTGGCTTAGCGGTTAAGTACATGCGCTCCACTGCTGGTGGCCCGGGTTTAGATCCCGGGCGCGCACCGACGCACCGCTTCTCCGGCCATGCTGAGGCCGCGTCCCACATACAGCAACTAGAAGGATGTGCAGCTATGACATACAACTATCTACTGGGGCTTTGGGGGGAAAATAAATAAATAAATAAAATCTTTAAAAAAAAAAAAAAGTAAAAATGGCCAGGGGGACAGGGAGCAGTTGGGGGTGGATACAGTTCTGATAGGGTGTAGTGAGGTGATGGTTGAGTAGGGACCTCAAGGGAATGAGGGAACAGGCTGTGTGGGGATCTAGGGGGAAGCTTTCTAGGCAGAGAGAACAGCTAGTGCAAAAACTGTGAGGTGAGACTATGCTTGGATGTTCAAGAAGCAGCAAGGGGGCCAGTGTGACAAGAGCAAGCAAGAGTGACATGAGGTCAGAGTTAGGGGGCACCACGTCATGTGGGTCTTTTGTCTTTTCTTTTACAAAAAGATTTTTGCTCTGACTCTGAGTGAGATGATGGAAAGACATTGGAGAATTCTGAGCAGAAGAGTAACATGATCTGACTAAATGCGTTTGCATGCTGATGAGAAGAATCTAGAAGAGAGATTGATGATGGGAAAAAGAGGAGGGAATTACTGGAGCAGTGTCGTCGAGTAGATGAGAGGAGATGGGATCTGGTGCACAAGTGGATGGGGTTGGTCTTTGCTAGGAGCTCAGATAATTCAACCTTAATAAAAAGAGAAGGTACAGATGCAGGTAGTCAGGAAAGATGGTGCGAGTTTATGGAGATTCTGTTCTGGTTGTTTCTATTTTCAGTGTAATAGGAAGTAGGGCCAGCAACTGAGAGTGAGGCTGCAGGAGAAAGTATGATATAGTCATCTAAGAGACAGAAAGAGGAATTGGCCTAGTGAAATTTTTGGTGATTGCCAGACAGCACCAAGGGCCCACTTTGGGCTAAATTCAGTGGTTAGATGTTTTTTTCAACTACATTCAACTGTGTGGCTGCAGGCATGAAATCGATGTTGAGTTACCTTTAATCAGGGTTGCAAGTATGGCACAGTGAAAGAAGTAGGGTTCTTGAGGGTGTTGCAAAGGGATCGTAAGTCTCATGGGGTTAAAGGATTGTTGGAGATGGAGCATAAGGGGGAGGGAGCTGGAAACCTGGGCTGTGATCAGGAGCCTGGGTACTTGAAACTGAGATTATAGAGGAGTTGTAATCATAGATAATGACAAGTTCTGGGGTATGACCCTGGAAGTGAGTGGCTGAGGTAACAGGCATTGAAAGAGCAGACATCAAGGAAGTAAGAAGCCACGGTACTGGAAGGATTGTCTTCTGGATTCTGAAATCACTCAGAACTAGAGCAGGAGAGAGTGACAGTGAACCAGGAACTAGAAATCTTCAAGTAATGATGGGGAGTGATTCAGACTCCAGCAGAGAACTGCAACAAGAAGAGGTAGTATAAATGAAGGTGGTATAAATGAAGACTGCAGGACTCAAAACTGGGAGTGCTTAGGGAGGACGGACAGAGAACGGTCTGGAAAGATCTGTGAAGAGCAGGGACACCTGTCCCGCTTCTGGGCCTAAGGGCATGACCCAATTTGGGAGAGAAAATAGCTACCACTTCAGAAAGTTGGAGGCAGAAGTAATATCCTCAGGGGAGATCCATGTTTCAGCAGGAACAAGAAAATGAAGGGAATGTTCGAAGAAGGGAAGAAGGAGGGGATTCTGCTCTTGACTCAGTGGAAAAGTTTCAGAAATTGGAAGGGATGGGAGATGGGCTAGAAAGGGGTATGTACAGATCCCTATGGGAATCAGTCTGGGAGGCCTAAGATTCCTGTGTTGACATGAATGGGGATAAAGGGTGTGTGTGATGAGATTCGTTCTGATGGTGGCAAGACGGTGAGCATGGGTAGGAATGCAGGGGGAAGGTCTTGCTAGAAACAGAAATAAATTGTGTGTGTGTGTGTACATAAATATACACATATATACATACACACATATAGTGTTAGTTATAGTTTACTAACTCTTCCTTATTGTGAAGGTCATACATGTTCATTTCAGGAATTTTGACCACTGTAGAAATATATAAAGAAAGAAAATCAGAATTGCCAATAACTCCACCATCCAAAGATAATTACCACTAACAGGATGGTTTGGTTTATTTCCTTCCAGTGAGGTATTGGTGTGTATGTTTCATTTAGTTACATTTACTGCTTTTCCTAGTTATACAAGTGAGATATATTCTTTGGGGAAATTTTGAGAAATACAGAAAAAATAAATGAGAGTGTTTATCTTACTACGCCCTTAAAGCACTGAGCTCTTAATCATCTTTTTAATCTTTGCTTATTTGATAGGCAAAAAACAAAAACCCTCAGTATTGTTTTAATGTGCATTTCTTGAATTACAAGTGAAGTTTAATGCCTTGAAAGATTCCATCTTACCTAGACTTTTACAATGTGTAACTCCTCCCCTGCAGGCTCCTGAGTCCTATAAGAACGTGACCGATGTCGTGAACACCTGCCACGATGCAGGGATCAGCAAGAAGGCCATTAAACTGAGACCGATTGCTGTCATCAAAGGATAGAACGCTGACCGTGGCCACCAGACACCACTGACCCTCACTGACGTGGACGTGGACGTGGACTGAAACGCTCCTCAGACATCAGCCTTGACAGACCTGACAAGTTCCAGAGTGTGCAGCTGTAACTGCCCGTTCCAAAATGGCTGCCGCAGGGGTCTGCCACCTCAGGAGCCAGTGTTGTAAAATAGCCTTCTGGGGGAGTAGTGTTGCCCCTCCCTCATTGTCCCACAGATTTCTAGGAAAACCTATTAGGAGGTGGGGATAGGTTAAGAAACTGCCTTACTCGGTCATACAAGTCCTTAATCGTCAGAATAAACTTCTTTACACAAGCTCTGTTTACATCCCCAGAGATGTCATGAAGAATATTTTATTAAATAGGAAGGTTTTGGAATGTTGTCCTTTCTGCCCTCCTGTCGTCACTTTGTCCATTCATCCACCCATCTACCCCCTTCACCTGCTCTGAGCAAAACCCTGATTCCACTCTTTCTTGGCTAGCACCCAGGGGGTCATATCAGGACATTAGATGAATGGAGAACAGGACACATTGAGGAGGGAATGTGTGGAGGTGTAGGAATAGGAACCCAAAAGAGCAAATAATTTTTCATAGACTTGCTGCCTTTCTCAGTCTAAATATTAGGCAGAGTTTTGACTTACCTGCCAAATGGCATCAGCTAGTATCTGACCTTAATTAGGCCTGGTCTGGCAAACTTTTCTTGAATGATAACCTACACAGCAGCAGCAGAGAACCCTCACGTAATACTGAATATCTTCACTTTAGGATTGAATTATTATAAAAGTATTAAGTGACCACAGCTGTGACATTAGTAGTCGGTGTGTTGACAGGTTGACTAGTCTTGTGCCACTAATCAGATTTCATGTTATGTACTGTGACACCTCGAAGATGTTCAAGTTATAGATTACTAAGGCCTTGGTTGAGTGCCATGAGCCAGTACAATAGAAGAATCTAATAAAGTTGCAATATGTTGTTTATATTTTGTGCTTAATATCTTATAGCTTAGGACAATGAGTATTTGTACTTGATCCGCTTATATGTTGCTGTTTTCTGATTTTCTCCCAGGTTGCTTTCAGAGACACGCCCTAAAAAACCTTCTTTCCTAAAACTTATCCCTCAACTTATAATAAAAACCCCCATGGGAGTATCTGTAGATGCTGTTTGGAAGGCTGGAGAAAAGCAGACTTCCTCTGAAAATGTGTGATGTGAAATAGCATACCACGTCTTTTGAGCACTCAGTAACTCCCATAAAGAAGTTAGGGATCTTAATGCAATAATGATAATGCCTTCAGGTTGGACCAGTTTTTGACTGTTGTGCACAGATGACCTGAGGATGCAAGTTACCAGTGAACGCTGGGGGACATTTAACAAGGAGAAACAGGCTTCTGGCAGGTGCTACGCTCTCCAGAGCCGAGGTGACATTGGAGTGTCTGTGTAGCCTCCCTCTAACTGCGCTTGCCTAATGACATGTCATCTGAAACTAATTCAAAGCAAGGTCCACTCCCCAAACCAACTGATGGTAGTGCAAGAAACGCTGTGGATCATCTTAAATACATACGTTAAGTTTTGTTAGATGCTTTGAAAGTTACTCTTCAGGGAGGTGAGGGGGAGCAGGTGAGGAGGAGCAAAAGAGAAGAATGGTTTATGCAGTGGCGTTTCTGCCTGATAAGCTTTCCTTACATGTACCATTTCCAGCAAACTTGGCCCTATTAATGACCATAGAAAGTAATGGTTAATATTTTGAGTTCAAAAAGAAAGGTACAAACATTATTTTCCTTGTTCTAAAGATGTTATTTTCCCTTTTGAGGCAGAAAAGTCCACTTAAAAATAAATGTTCAAGTGAAGCTGAAGTAAGCGGCTGTTTTTATTGCCCTGAGTAAACAGACCTCATGCCTGTGCACAGGCTCACAGCTAGGAATGCCCTTTGATAGGGCGCTGTCTGCTGCTTTCAGGCATGAGGATGAGTCTTATTACTGCACACATCTTGGGCTCTTTTTAGGGCATCTAAAATCAGTAGGTTTATAACTAGTATTTTCAAAAGCACTGACATTCACACACTGATGGTGGCCTGTATCATTCCTTTTATCAGCATACAGTTGGGGAAACCAATTCATGAGACAAAATACAAACACCCACTAATTTTCTTATTTTGTGAACATTTCCTGGAGCAACAAGGAAGTAAAGATATAAATATTGAATAAAATCTTGCAGATCTTGAGACACTCCCATTTTGATCTTCATATAACCTTTGAAAACTTAAGCACAAGATAACTAAACGTGTTTTTAGCTTTTCCTATTTTTTTCTCCTTAAGACTGCATTTTTCTTTCTTTTTTTTTTTTTTTTTGGTGAGGAAGATTAGCCCTGAGCTAACATTCGTTGCCAATCCTCTTTTTGCTGAGGAACATTGGCCCTGGGCTAACATCCATGCCCATCTTCCTCTGCTTTATATGTGGAACACTGCTACAGCATGGCTTGATAAGCTGTGCATAGGTCCGCGCCTAGGATCCCAACCTGCGAACGCTGGGCCGCCAAAGCGGAGTGTGTGAACTTAACCAGTACACCACCAGGCCGGCCCCTTTAAGACTGCATTTTTCCCTCGTGTTCATTATCGAGTTTCTCTCCTGTTTCTGAAAATTGCTTGTAAGCATCACCTATATTGCTGAAACATTTACACCTCTATGCCTGATATTCCAATGCACAACTCACACAGCCCATTCTGTCCTTATTTCTTACTTATATCCTTACTCTCTGCATCTGTTCCAGTGCTTGCCTATAAGGGATTTTCATGCTGTCCAGAGAGCATGATTTGTGTCCATCTGGATTGGTTGAGTATGAAGATGCTGTTAATTATCAATCAGGCCTCTTGGAGTATGCCAAGTCGTTAGGATAGATTCTGATCTTTAAAAGCTCTTGCTCTAAAACTGTTGTCTGAAACATCAGTGATCCTAGGAGGAGATAATGTTACAAGGGGGACATGTTACAGGGAAATGAGTGGTGATTGAAGTTGCACCTTGCAGACAGGTAGTAAATGAACAAAATGCCAAGCATATAGTAGGTCCTTAACATGTTAAAAATCACCATTCCTGCTTTTCATTTGATCCAATATTTTTACATACAGTTTTAGACCTAAAGGAATGAGGTAGGGAGGGAGGATGATGTGAGCCATTCACTGGAATTTAATGAGGTTGGCAAGGTAGGTATTATCCCCTTGTTACAAATTGGAACACAGCCTCAGAAAGGTCTAGCAGCTTGCCCAAGGGCACCCAACCAAGGACAGAGCCAGGCGTAGAGAATCAGGTGTTTAATGCTGTTTTCCCGATGTCACAGGGCCTCATTTACCCACGTTGTGCTGCTTTTCCTATTCACTACAAGAACCAGCCAAGTCCAGTCTGGAACTTTTAACACAGGCAAAGAGAACCATTTTTGCTTCGCTAGCTCACTCTTCTTGAGCACTCACAAAAATTTCTTTTAAATGGAATTAGTCCTCTTGCTTGGCCTTGTTGAGGCAGGTCAGAGACCCTGACCAACATAAAGGAGCCTGTGATGAACTATAAAGGTCTTGTTCTGCTTGATGAATGTATATAAAACAGGCCTCCCTTTTGCCTTGTTTTCTAGTCCACAAATCAGTAAATAAATGCCAGGCAGCCCTCAAAACAGTGAGCGCCTCCCGGGATTCCAGGACCCTGTAACCATTTGCCCACTTCTAGAGTGTTAGCTTAAGAAGGTCTCTTGGAGTTTGCCTCACCTCCATTGCTACATTTCTTTCCCAGAATGGGAGAAAAACTATAGTCAGGCACCAAGACACTTGCCCAAGGTACTGACGGAAGGAGACCCTTTCGCTCTGGACTCCAAATCAGTGTTTTATCAATCAACAAGAATTGTATTCTTACTGTGTGCAGAACACTGTGCTAGGTCCTAATGAAGTTCACGAAGATAAGTCATACTCTGCCTTCAAGAACTTACAGTCTAGTTGGGAATGTGGATCAGATGTGCATACTTACAAGCAAAAAGCAACTCAAAGCAATTTAAGTGTTGATAAGTGCAAGAATACAGGCTTAAGGAAAAAACTGAATAATGGCCCATCTTCATACAACAGCCAAGCTACTTCAGAGGAGTGTCTTCGCTTTAATCCTCTACTTCCTCAGATCCCATCCCATCCCTGAGTCTCCTTAATCCTGGCTTATGCTCTTACCACTCCAATGAAACTACTCGCCAAAGTCATCCGTTACCTTGTAGTGGCTAATTAGATGGACCGATTTTAGTTTTTCTTTGCCTTCTGCAGTATTTGATACTATTAATCACTCTTGGAACACTCTCTTAGAACATTTTCATTGGGCTAGGTCCTGGCCCTCTTCTCACTATGCACAGTCTTCATGGCTCATTGTCACCCACTCCCATGATTTCAACCATCACCTATGGCTGGTGACCCCGCATCCATCTCTCCACCCCACATCTGCGGGACATCTCCACCTAAAGATCCCACAAACATCTCAAAATCAACATGTAAACTCAACTCATCATCTTTCCTCCTTTAAAATCTGTTCCCAGTCTCAGGGAAGACACTACCACTCGCCATCACTTAAGCCAGAAATTAGTGTCATCCATCACTGATTCCTGCCTCTCTCTTAGCCTCGTCTAAGTCTTGTCAATTTTGACTCCTGGATATCTGTAAAATCTTTCCTCTCTTCATTTTCAGGGCCTACTCACTCACCTCATCTCTCAGACTATGGCAGGCATCTCTTTAGCTGGTAGCCTCTCACACATAAATCCTCTTTTCTTCTGGTACTAAAACTCGTACATTTCTTAGAGAACCATCCCACCCACATTCTCTGTTCATGTGGTTTGGGTGGGCTGACTCCACCCCTGGTCTCAGACCTGGATACTCAGCATCATTTCCTCCACCCCAGCCCCCAGCCCCAGGAACTGGTTGAGAAATTGGCACTTGATCTAGTTAGAATAAAAGCTAATCCTGGGAGCTATTCTATTTCACTCAAGAGCAAGGTCCTCCCTTTCCCTGGTGTCGCTACAAGGATATGATGTAGGCCTAGGCCTGTTCACAGCCATCTCGCCACATGAGCAGACTTGCCTGAGAACGGAGCCCACAGGAAGGAAGGCAGAGCTGAGGGGTAGAAAAAGCAGGAGTCCCTGTGACATAAGATTTGAACTTCTGGACTCCTCTGGGACTGACAGCAGGATACTCTTGGACTCCCAGTTAAGTAAGAGGGAAAAAAAATTATCTTTGTGCTTAAGTCAGTTTGAGTTGATTCTTCCTGCAACCAAGATTCCTGGCTGGTTCAGTGATAAGATGATGGAAGTCCAGAAAGGGAGGAGGCAACAGTTTTGCGCCTGGGGTCCTGAAAGAAGCATGGTTCTCCTCTCAGAAACAGGGAAGTGCTGAGGAAAACTGATTTCCAAAAGGCCGTGAGTTTGGAGTTAGACATGTTGAATTTCAGGTGCTACAGGACATCTAGGTGGCGAATGAAGATGCATTACAGGAGTTCAGAAGAGAGACTCTAAATGGGTCATTAGATTTCAGAGAAAATGAGATTTGCAAAAGAACTAGTTTAGAGATGAGAAAAGGGCTGAGAATGAACCTTAGCGTAGAGCTCTGCTTACTGGGTAAGAGGAGAAAGAGAAGCCAAGGCCAGGACACAACAGCAAACAGAACCATTTCTGTTTCGATGGCTCGCTCTTCCTGAACACTGCAATGAGCCAGACTCTGTCCTGAATGCTGAGGGCTAGTGACATGGTCCCTGCTCTCAAGGCTCACATTTTGGTGGGGCCAAGAGGGAACAGATAAATAGACTATTATAAAACAGTATGGGCACAGAAATGGGAGCAAATTTCTTAATAAAAATCATTCAATCCTGCAGAAAAAGAAAGAGACCTAAGAAAGATCCACTGGGTTTAGTGATCGGCAAATCACTAGTGGAGTTTCAGTAGCATATTAGAGCAAGTGGCTATTTTAATAATAATAAAAATAACAGCTACCATTACATAACATTTGCTATGTATCAGGCACTGATCTAAGCTTTTTACATAGAATAGCTCACTTTATCCTCAGAACAATTCTATGAAACAGATACTGTTATTCCCATCTTACACACTATTCTCATTTTACACCTGTTTGCCCTAAGAGAGTAAATATTCTCCTACCAAACTTTTGGAAGAGCATGAGTTAAGAAGAGCCTCGAAGTAGTGCTAATGTGATGCTCAAATGATTTATGCCCTTAACAAAGACTTCACGTCAGTACAAACCCAATAAAAAATCCCCAGGAAGCTCAAGTGCAGGTTCAACTAAAAATGTTCTTTGAATATTTGTACTTCTTTATTTCTTAAATGACTAGATTTAGCAACTGAACTTGGTGAGAAATAACCGCGGGTTTGCCCAGTATCACCCACCTGGTGGTAGTTCCCTTGGTGTTGGAAAGGGAAACCTCCCATTGGGTCTGTAGCCCTCTCAAGAGAATCTTGCTCAGCCACATTGTGCCGATAGCTCTTGGGAGCCCAACTCAGCAGATCCGAGTAAGATGGACCACTCCTACGTCCAAACCTGGCCTCCTCAGAGACCCTGGCCCACATGTAACAAAAAAGGATCACCATAAATCCTTCTGTTGACTAGGTACATACATCATGAGCTGGCCTTGGTACTTTTCTGTTGGACTGAATCCAGTCCTCCAGCAACTGGATCACAAGGGGCTTTTATACAGCGATGGCAGTGATTCATCTGATGGCTTCCTGTCTTATCGACGTGTGAACAGGCTTATGAGAGGCAAAACACCAATGAGGGAAGCTGCCAGATTTAGAACATCTTATGCTACCCATCACTTCCTTAATCTGCCA